CCCAGGCACCCTGTTTTTTCCCCAGATTTATTGAGAAATAATTGACATATGTCACTGTATAAGTTTAAGGCACACGGCATGATGGTTTGATTTACATATATTGTGAAATAATTACCACAGTAGATTCAGTTAGCAACCATTTCCTCATATAGATACAAGAAAAAGAAAAGAAAGAAGAAAAGAATAAAGGGAAAAAAATGTTCTCCTTGTGATGAGAACTCTCAGGATTTATTCTAACACCTTCCCTCTATAACTGGAAGTTTGTACCTTTTGACCATCTTTCTCCAGTTCCCCCTACCCGCGTCCCCTGCCTGTGGTAACCACAAGTCTGACCTCTTTCTCTGTGAGTTTTTCTTGTTTTTCAGTTTGTTTGTTTGGTTCCACATGTGAGTGACATCATATGGTATTTGTCCTGTGTCTGACTGATTTCACTTAGCATAAAGCCTTCAAGGTCCATTTGTTTCGTTGCAAATGGTAGGATTTCCTCATTTTCTATGGCTGAGTACTATTCCATGGTGTGGGTGTATATATACACATATATATACCACATGTATATACCACTTCTTTATCCGTTCATCCTTCAGTGGACACTTAGGTTGTTTCTGTGTCTTGGCTATTGTAAATAATACTGCTGTGAACATGAAGGTGCAGACATCTTTTCAAGTTAGTGTTTCATAAGTCTTTGGAAGAAGTGGAATTGCTGGATCATATGGGAGCTCTATTTTTAATTTCTTGAAGGTCCTCCATACTATTTTCCATGGTGGCTGCACCAATTTACCATCCCACCAACAGTGCCCAAAGGTTCCCTTTTCTCCACATCCCTGCCAGCATTCAGTATCTCTTGTTTTTGTGTGGATGGCTGTTATACCAGGTATGAGGTAATATTGCATTGTGGTTTTCATTTGCATTTCCCTAATGACTAGTGATGTTGAGCATCTTTTCATGGACATTTGCAGAAATGTCTATTCGCCAAGAAATGTCTTTGTGCATTTTTTAACTGGGTTATCTGGGTTTTTTGCTATTGAGTTGCATGAATTTTTTGTACATTTTGAGTATTAATCCTTTATTAGATACATGGTTTGTAAAGATCTGTAATATTGTAAATATTTGTAAAAAGAAAAATTGTCTTTTCACTCTGCAGAAGCTTTTTAGTTTGATGTAGTTCCATTTATTTATTTATTTATTTTTTATTGTGTTGCTTGTGCCTTAGGTGTCACATCCAAAAACTCATTACCAAGAGCCATGTCAAGAAACTATGTTCCTATGTTTTGTTCTAGGAGTTTCATGGCTTCAATCTTACATTTAAGTCTTTAATCTATTTTGAGTTAATTTTTGTGAGTGATCTCAGATCCAGTGGGCCCAGTTTCATTCTTTTACATGTGAATATCCAATTATTGCAGCACCATTTTTTGAAAAGACTGCATACTGAACTTTTTATCTAATGGGTTTTTCTATATATATGCAGTCAAATGCTCTACTCCTGAGCTATATCCCCTGTTTTTCTCTCTATATAAAACACCTATTTGGACCTCACAGATGCACTAAGTTTGTTTACTGTTACGCACAGTATATGCAGCCTTCCCCTGTATGATTCTTGTCTTGCTATTGGAGGATGTTTCTTGACTTTGTAGAGGCCCACCCTGTGGCTTTGGAAAATGCACCCTGACCTGTCTCTCGGACCACTTTGGGCTAATTGAAGTAGGTCTTTATAATACTGCTAAGAATCTAACTGGAGTTGAAATATTCTTCTCTTTCTTGGGCTTGCTTTTTTGGTAGTCAATGTTGAAAATAGTGGATGTGAGCACTTGTAGTTTAGGTGTCAGTGAGGTACTGAGATCAGAGGTTCCTCATGCTTCCAATAACATCATCATCACAAACACCTCATAGTTAACCTTAGGGAATGTAGATACTATTTTATTACCAACACAGCTTTAAGGCAAAATAAATGTCAGGTGGTAACATGCCTTTCCAAGATTAGCAATTGTTCTCTAGAATAACTATGTTCCTCACAGGACTAGGAAAAACATTCATCTGTTCCAACTTCAACTCTTGTGTTTAAATCTCACCTGTTAGTGGGCATCTAGTCAATGCTTAAATTCTTCATATGACAGATTAGGATCAGCAGTTGCTTATATGGTGCTGAAACCTCTCTTGGAATTTTGATTTATTTATCCTAATTCTTGACTTCAGAAAAATTCTATCTTATTATCTCCATGATCCTCCTTAACAGATGTTTGTTAATAACAACTATAGTCCACTTTAAATTTTCTTTCTGTGAAATAATCCAGTCCATCAACTACTTCTCATTTGATAGTGCTTCAAGTTGTCCCCCCTCAGCATGTTTCCATTTTGTCTTTGTGCTTTTGAAAGGGAACTACCTTGAAGGCTGCTCTAGGACAGTATGATGACCACAGTGGTCTTAAGGTCTGCTACCCTCCCCACACCTTCCCACCCCCACTCACTCAATGCACAAAACTCTAATAATTATGTCTAAGATCTCGTTAATTATCTTCTAACTCAAAGCTGTACTTGCACTTCATCACACAAAATGTTAAGTACTTCTTTCCGTGCCTCATATGATGCTAAGTTTCTTTTCTTGCATCTGTCCTTTTGTTGACACTCAGCCTATTACTTCATCAGGATAAGCCAGATGGGAAAGCGCCTCGACCTCACTGCTTTCAGAGCACATTGAAATTTTATAACTGATGTACTTTTTCATTCAACAAATACGTGAATAGACTTATTATGTGTTAGGTGTTGGCAGAAGGGATGCGTAGGTTAGAAATGAACAGAATGTGAAGAGATGGAAACAAAGAACATCTATTTCAAGAAGTTTTTCTCTGAAGAGAGTGAGAAATAGGAGTCATTGCTGGAAGTGGACATGGAGGTAAAAGGAGTTTTAAGGTGGGAAGTGACGTACTTCAAACAAAGGTTTATGAAGACAAACTGTCAGGCCCATTCTAAATACTTTTTTTTTCCCTGCAGGCTCAAAATTCTGAGTTCCTTTAATCATTCATCAGAGTGGCAAGAAGATAATGTCATAGAACCTCTTTAGAGCTTTCTAGTATTCAACACAGAAAAAACAGGTGGTGAGTGTCCACTGTTGGGGTAATTAAGGAAGAAAATAGCTTAAGAAAATGTATTTTTGAATACAGGACTGCTAAGAAATATCAAAAGCAACTGTGGAGCTCAAGAGGGAAATTTCCTCCAGCATTAGGGATCCTAGTAGTGAATTTCCGAATAACAGTTACTACAGAAGCACTTGTCAGTATCATGTGAAGATGGTCTTCCCTGCCTTGGCTGTACGTGTGGAACCACAGGGAGAATAATGCAACTCTGCTGGGCAGATGGAGGTGCTCCTTTATCTCTGCAAACCCTGCACTTATGCATGCTTCTATTACAGAATGTTAAACTGGGAATTCTATTTTTTTCACTTTTTTATCTCTCTCTTCTACTAAACTACTAGAGGTCATGACCTTTTGTTTTTCATCTCCAGAGTCAAGCACACTGTTCAATCTAAAGGTACCTGATAACCACTAAATTCTATTCCTGAGCCAATATTACACTCTATGTTAACTAACTAGAATTTAAATAAAAACTTGAAACAAAAAAAAAGGTACCTGATAAAATGGGAAAAATCCATTCACCTCAAGCTTTTGAGGGCAGAGTAGACTATTTTTAATAAATTTACAAAGAAATGGTGTAAGAGATAACATCACATACCAGACGACAAAATACTCTAACACCGCACCTCAGAATCTTCAGCAACCTTAGTCTTCAGAGCCACTCTTACAGAGTCTTCCTTAGTCAGTTTCCCCCCAAGCTGAAGACAAGCCAGCAAATATTTGGCTGCTCCTTTTCCTTCTTCCTCTTTTCTACCCCCTCCACTCAAGAATAAAACAATCAGTTTCTTTCCTTAACTAGAGCAGAGCCAAATGACACGTAGGTCCTCAATACCACACCCAGAACCTTTTTTTCAGGGTCTTTGCCCAACAAAGACAAAACTTTCCCCAAGATAAATTCTGGTGTCACTTGTTAAGTTATTAATATTTCCAGCACATTACATAATAATTGAAAGCCTAGTCTTTTAGAGAACAACACACCTAATCTCAAATCTACCTGTGTGACTTTGAGTGAAACTTCACATTTATGACCTGCAGTTTTTAACTTTAGAAAGGTCATATGATGCTCATACTGTTTATTACAGAAAGCTCCGTGGTGTCTAGGGTAGCATTGTCTGGTCAAACACACTAGTAATTCTGCAGCAAAATAAATAATATAAAGAAAATAAATAGGCTTCTGTCGATAAATTAATAAAATCTTTTAAAAAATCCATTTAAAAAAAAGGGGGGGGCACCTAGGTGGCTCAGTTGTTAAGCGTCTGCCTTCGGCTCAGGTCATGATCCCAGGGTCCTGGGATCAAGCCCCACATTGGACTTCCTGCTTGGCAGAGAGCCTCCTTCTCCTTCTGCCCCTGCTTGTGTTCCCTCTCTTGCTGTCTTTCTCTCTGTCAAATAAATTAATAAAATTAAAAAAAAATCCATTAAAAAAAGAAAAGAAATAGCCTTAAGTTGACTCCTGATAGGTTTAGCTGTCAAATGGATTACAAAATAAACAAACAAAAACCTCTGGTTCTCAAAACTCTGTGGGGTTTGGAATGATGAATTAGGGACTGTGGATCTGTATCTACTTCATGGGCTTGTCATGAGGCATAAAGAGGATAATGCATGTCAAGCTCATAGCTCAGACCACGACACTAAAGGCTTACTTAATACATGGTTATTATTACTACTGCTGCCCTACTTCAGCACGTGTTAAACCTAGGATCAAGTTCCTGTCCTTTCTCTTTCCTCTTATTGGTAAAATCTTTCCATATTGTGTATTTAATTTATAGGAAACTTCCAAACTGCTCTTAATACTAAGTTGTTTTTTTTTAAACGAGTAAGCCTTCAGTGTTGCAGACAACCTCCGTTAGACCCAGCACGGTTGTGAACACCTACCATTCTCGCTTCCTTGTTGACAGAGCCCTGAGTCTCCCCTTCCAGCAGCTTTACCTTCTCCCAGACTGGCACTGGTTTCTTTCCAGGAATGATTAACTAAGTTCAAACAGGGGAGAAGAAAGCATTCCAGTTGACAAATATAAATGTTTACTGAAAGAAGAAAAAATATTTTTATGACATATGGGAACAAAGAAAAAATTTTTATAGCCAAAGGTAGAAGCCTGAATTTGGGCACAGAAGGTCAATATGCAACTAACCACATTTCAAATAAGGAAATAAAGGATGGGTATGGAACAAACATAGCAAGAGGAAGAGGATGTCAAGAAAGTTAAAATAAATGGAACAGATTTTGATTTCTGGCCCTACTGCCCTTCTTTAAATTTTTTTTTAAAGATTTTATTTATTTGAGAGGGGCGCCTGGGTGGCTCAGTCGTTAAGCGTCTGCCTTTGGCTCAGGTCATAATCCCAGGATGCTGGGATCGAGCCCCGCATCGGGCTCCCTGCTCGCCGGGGAGCCTGCTTCTCCCTCTCCCACTCCCCTTGCTTGTGTTCCCTTTCTCACTGTCTCTCTCTCTGTAAAATAAATAAATAAAATCTTTTAAAAAAAAGATTTTATTTATTTGAGAGAAAGAGAGATAGAGAGAGAGCAAGAGCGGGGGGGTGGTGTGGGGAGAGGGAGAAGCAGGCTTCCCACTGAGCAGGGAGCCCGATGCGGGACTCGATCCCAGGACTCTGGGATCACCCTCACTGAAGGCAGACGCTTAATTTACAGCTGAGCCACCCAGGCGCCCCTGGCCCTATTGCTGTTAAACTCACATTTTATTAATGAATTCATTCCTGCTGATTCTAATGATCCTTTGTTAGTCTTTCTCACATCTCTAGATACACAATATATGTCACCAGACTACCTGCTTTCATTCTACTATGGGGCATTTCCACTGAGGCCTTGAAATCTTTTCAAACATACTTTATAAAACAAATCTGATTATCTCTCCTGTCAATCCTTCTTTTCCAGACTTCTCCTGTTTTCTTGAGAGCATCATCATCATTTTGGATCTTAGGCTTAAAGGCATCTTTGGTGGCTACTTTTCTGTGGCCCTAGATCTAACCAGCCACCAGTTTTCTTAGTTCATCTTGTAATCCACATCCTGTTTCTATCTCTCTTCCACCACTCTGCCCCATGCCTGGATTATTTCCCTGTGTTCTTTCAGATGGGCTCTCCTATGTGCTACAGTGTGCATCGAATTGTCATAAAGAGGCAGAGGCCCTGGATTTATGAGTTGGCTTGACCACTCACCAACAATGTATTCTCTGTCCCTTCTCTATACCTCATCAGTTACCTTTGACCCCTGACACAGTCACCAAGTCATGTTGAGCCACTTTCAACATATTGACTCTGTTCTCTTTCTGATACAGTGTCTCTCTACTTCCCTAATTCAGACCATTATTTACTCCTTGAAACAGTTTCCTAACTGCTCTCACTACATCTTGCTATCTTTTAAGCAAACTTTGGATTTTTGGATAGTTTTAGATTATAGAAACGTTAAAAAGATAATACAGAGAGTCCATGTATACCCCTCATCCAGTTTACCCTATTGTTAACATTTTACATTACCTAGTACATTTATCATGGCTAAGGAAGCAACACTGACACGTTACTATTAACTAAACTTCAGACTTGATTCCAGTTTCACTATTTTTTCCACCAGTGTCTTTTTCCTGTCCCAGTCTCTAATCCAGGATACTATATTAAATTTACTAGTCATGCTTCCTTAGTCTCCTCTGGTCACACTTCCTCATTTATTCCTTATTAATATATCCTGCTTATTCCTGGACACGCTTTACGGAGCTCTAGCCATTTTTAGAATATCCCTCAATTTGGGTTTGTTCAGTATTTTTCTCATGGTTAGACTGAAGCTGAGGATTTCGGCAGGGATAGCATAACAAAAATGAGGCACCCTTCTTGCCGTAGACCATGGGTGTGTGCTGTCCATACGACTTGCCATGATAGGGTTAAACTCGGTTACTTGGTGCAGATAGCACTTGCCAGTTTCCTTAACTGCAGAGTTAGCTTCTATCCCTTTTCATAGTCTGTTATTTAGCACAAAGTCAGTAAATGTGGCCCACACAGGGGAGGAGGGAAGTTAAGCTCCATCTCCTCAAGAGTGGAGAATCTATATAAATTATTTTGAATTCCTCTCTAAGGAAGAATGGTCTCTTCTCCTGTACTTATTTACTCATGTATCCAATAATTTATTTATATCAATATAGAAGGACAAAGTTTCATGGATATTTATTTATTTTGGTTATTTTTTTAGTCACATTGTTCCAGCTTTTGCCAGGGGGGAGTGCTTTCCACTTCTGTAGCCATGTGGCAAGCTCTAATTCTTTTGTTTTCTGCTCAGTTCCTTAGTTTCAGGCACTGTAAGATGCTTGCGAGCCATCTTGTATTTTGCCTGCCTCAGCCCTAGAATCAGCCATTTCTCTCTGGTCAGCTTTTTAATCCTCTAATCTGTTCTTCATTTGGAAGCAGAATGGTCATGTAACTCTTTTTTTTTTTTTTTTTACGTTTTTTTGTTAACATATAATGTATTATTTGTTTGAGGGGTACAGGTCTGTGATTCATCAGCCTTACACAATTCATAGCGCTCACCATAGTACATACCCTTCCCAATGTCTATCACCCAGCCACCCCATCCCTCCCACTCCCCTCCACTCCAGCAACCCTCAGTTTGTTTCCTGAGATTAGGAGTCTCTTATGGTTTGTCTCCCTCTCTGGTTTCATCTTGTTTCATTTTTTCCTCTCTTCCCCTATGATCCTCTGTCTTTTTTCTCAAATTCCACATATCAGTGAGATCATATGATACTTGTCTTTCTCTGATTGACTTATTTCACTTAGCATAATACTCTCTAGTTCCATCTACATCATTGCAAATGGCAAGATTTCATTTTTTGATGGCTGCATAATATTCCATTGTACGTATATACCACATCTTCTTTATCCATTCATCTGTCGATGGACATCTAGGCTCTTTCCATAGTTTGGCTATTGTGGACATTGCTGCTATAAACATTGGGGTGCAGGTGCCCCTTCGGATCACTACATTTGTATCTTTGGGGTAAATACCCAGTAGTGCAATTGCTAAGTTGTAAGGTAGCTCTATTTTCAACTTTTTGAGGAACCTCTGTACTGTTTTCCAGAGTGGCTGCAGGTCATGTAACTCTCTTAATTAAACATTTTCATTGACCCCTTTTTGTAGTTATAATAAAATGCATAATTGCTCATTTGTGATTTGTCCCTTGCCTAGGAACCAGTTCACTTTCATCTTAGCTTAGATTTCACTTCTTCCAGGAAGCCATCTTCCACTCACCCCCCAACTCTCCAGACATAGGTTTAGAATCCTTTCTATGCATTTTCTTAGTGCTCTGACCACCTGGTAGTAGACTCTGAATAAACTACACTGAATGAATAATATTCTGATCTTTACAATGGCAACTAACCATAGCATCCTCATTTGAAAAATGGGCATCTGTAATCCTTACAGATTAATAGTTTGAATGCAGTGAAGTAGGTTTGTGAAAATTCTATGTGAATTTTAATCAACTTGCAGATAATAAGTTATGCTAGCAGATAGAGGTGAGGAAGGAAATAAGTTTCATTACTTTTAAGGCAGTGTTCTTAAGGCATTGACCCCTTTATCATTATGTAATACTCTTCTTTATTTCTTATAACTTTCCTTTGAAGTCAGTTCTTTCTGAAATTAATATAGCTACTTTGATTACTATTAACATGGTATATTTTTCTCCATCCATTTACGTTTAATCTGTGTCTTTGTATTTAAAGAGGATTTTTGTTTTTTTGTTTGTTTTGTAGAAAACATACAGCTGGGTCATGTTTTTTAAATCCATTATGATAATCTCTTATCTTTTTGTTTATCTGTATGCATATATGTACTGTATTTTTGAGAGAGAGAGAGAGAGAGAGAGCAAGTACGAGCAGGGGGAGGGGTAGAGGGGGAGGACAAGTGGACTCCACGCTGAGCGTGGAACCCAACTCGGGGCTTGTTGCGGGGCTAGATCCCATGACCCTGAGATTATGACCTGAGCCAAAATCAAGAGTCATATGCTTGGGCGCCTGGGTGGCTCAGTTGGTTAAGCGACTGCCTTCGGCTCAGGTCATGATCCTAGAGTCCCTGGATCAAGTCCCACATCGGGCTCCCTGCTCGGCAGGGAGTCTGCTTCTCCCTCTGACCCTCCCCCCTCTTATGTGCTCTCTCTCATTCTCTCTCTCTCAAATAAATAAATAAAATCTTAAAAAAAAAAAAAAGAGTCATATGCTTAACGAATTGAGACACTCAGGCACCCTGACAATCCTTTATCTTTTAATTGGTGCATTTAGACCACTGACATTCAAAGTAATTATTGATATAGTTGGATTAACATATACCACGTTCATTGCTGTTTTCTGGTTTTTGGCCGTGTTCTTTGTTCTTATTTTTGTCTTCTACTCTTTCCTGCTTTTTGGGATTTTAACTGAACATTTTGTATGATTCTGTTTTCTCTCATTTCTTAGCATATCAGTTACACTTTTAAAACTTTTTTTAGTGGTTGTCTTAAGAGTTTGCAATATACATTTAAGATTAAGTCCACTTTCAAATAACACTACACCACTTCATGACTTCATGGGTAGTGTGAATACCTTATAATAACAAAATAATCCCAACTCCTCCCTCCCGTTCCTTGTGTCATTGCTGTCATTCATTCCACTTGTATATAAGCATAAATAAATACATGTATAATATATACATGTACATAAATATGCATAATCAAATACATGGTTGCTATTATTATTTTGAACTGTTACTTGTTAGATAATTAAGAATAAAAATAATACAGGTTTTTATTTTGCCTTCACCTATCCCTTGATACTCTTCCTTACTTTATGTAAGGAAGGCCAAGTTCCTGACCTCTATTATTTTCCTTCTCTCCAAAGTACTATTTGAAAACACTTTTTACAAGGCAGGTCTACTGGCAACAAATTTCCTCAGTTTTTGTTTATCTAAAGAAGTCTTTT